ACATCCTGGGGTCTGCCATCCTTTGATCCACGTTTTTGGGTCGTCTCGGGGCCCTCGTGGAGGCCTTTTGGGCCCCCATGGGGCGCTGTTGGATGTGTCCTACGCCCTCTTGGATTCCATTTTGGTTCCGCTCGGAGGTCTTTTGGGTGATCCTGGAGCCACTTCGAGGCTTCATCAGCCCATCGGAAGGAACATGGCGAGCGAACCATAATGGGGGTACCAACCATGTGTTTGTTAAAGGATTCGCTTTATTGGGGCATCCGCTGACATTCTTGTCGGTCGTATTGGGCAATCGCCCCAAGATGGCTTAGGATTGCCCCGCGGGAGCTCCAAGAGGGCTCACGACGGTCTCCCGACGAGCCCAAGACGGCCCGAGAGAACCCCCACATGGCTCCAGGAAACCGCAGGCGCCCCAAGAGCGCCCCTGGAGGGGCTCAAGACGGCACAGGAGGGCCATGGCCCAAGAGATCCCCCAAATGGCCCCTGGGAGCTTCAGTAACAACCCTGAAACGGCCCCGAGAGCCTAAGGCGGTCCATCTAGCATGCGCCCAGACGACCGCCCAGACGGTATGAATACCCTATCGCCCCCTCCAATGCGGCAGGCGGCCCACAGGTGCCTTCAAGATCCCCAAGACAACCCCAACAACTCTTGGGAAGATCCTGGGACGCCCCCTGCATGCCTGCATGGCGCCCCTCAAGATTCCCCACGGAAGCCCCCACGAACGTCACGAGGGGGGGAGGGGAGCAGGAGTTGGTGGAGCTGGAGGTGGCTCCGAAATGGCACCTCTGAGGTGACACTGGCGCGCAAAGAGGCATTCAGCCTGTTCGGCCGTCAGATGTCTGGATGTGGGGCCCAGACCCTTGCCGCTCGGCATCTTGTTGCCTTTTCCTTCACGGCTCTTGTTTTCCCGCTGGCCTCCCATCGCCCGTTCTTTGTTTCCTCCCTGGTGTCCTTCGTCTCCCGGCGCCCTCGCAGAGGAACTCTCGCTGTCCATTCCTCCCCGTCCTGTTCTTACCCACATGCACACAACCTGCGCCTCCCCTGTTCTTGATTATAGGGTAGAGCGGAGGCAGGGATCGGCAGCGGGGCAAAACTTAAACTGCCTTGTCTGGAACCTGATGCACATGTAGACGTACATTCATCCCAGCCCGGATGCCGAGTTTCAGTGCGACTTCAGCCACTAACGCATGGGTTTCTAAGCCAGAAGCCCGATCATCCAGACACGGCCCCTCTGGCGCGCTCAACGTTCTGCCTACTGGCAAGTAGAGCTTGAGCCCGCGCGCGATGGTTCCAGTGGATGAGTCGCCGCCTCGCAATCACTCTTCTCGCTCTCCCTCTCTCTCTCCCTTCCTCCCCTCTATTCCCTCCCTCCTCCTCTCCCCGTCCCCTCGTACCCTCCCCTCGCTCCCCTCCCTTTCCTCCCCCCTCCCCTCCCTCCCCTCGTCGGGGAGGGGATGGGGAGGCCGCGGTCGGGGGAGGGACGCTCGAGAGCTCGTGTCCTTCGAGGACCCCCCCCCCGCGCCTGGGCGCCGCATCGCGGCTGGTGTTGAATCCACGTCGAGGTCCCTGTCTCTCCTCCCTCTCCTCGCATTCTTTCGGGGGTGGACAGACCTCCTACCCTGACACGTCGATTCAGGGAGTGGCCGTTTTCGGTTCGCGAGAGGGCGTCGCGGCCGTCATTCTCGCGGGTCCAGGTCCGTCGGTTTCGGTCCCAGGCCGTTTTCACTCCGGGGAGGTTTACTAAAGGGAGGTTTGTCCACCGCCGATTCTTCCCGCTCCTCTCCTCCCTCTCTCATCTTTCCCTCCCCCTCCCTCCCCCTCTCCCCCCTCCCTCCTCCCTCTGTCGCAGGCTGGCGTTCCGCTGGGCGTGTCTTCTTGGCGCGCGCCACGGGCCACCACTGGCCGCAGCACCATGCAGGCGGGGCCCGGTGCCCTGTGGATGACCGCAGGTGGCAACGCCTACGTAAAGCCACACTGTTGTGGGCCGCCGCATGGGCTCGGGGGGTGGCCCTCGTCTGCCGCCTGACCGGTTCGGGGGATCGTGGAAGGTCGAGGGGGGGGAATAGGGGGGAGGAGGGGGAGGAGGAGGAGGAGGCTCCAGAGGAGGAGGAGGAGGAGGAGGAGGAGGAGGAGGAGGAGGAGGAGGAGGAGGAGGAGGAGGAGGAAGAGGAGGAGGAGGCGGAGGAGGCGGAGGAGGAGGGGGAAGCGAGATGCCGCGCGGTGTTTGCCTCGCCATGCCGCCTGGTGGCGGCCAGGGCCCGCTTCGGCGGGCGGCTCGGCGTGCCTTGGCGGCGCTGGTTGGGCCCGTGGGGCCGTGCGGCGTGGCCGCCAATGCCTTTCGGGCCAACCATGCCTCCTCCCTCCCTCCTCCTCCCTCTGGGCCCCAGGACTTCGCGCGGAGGCGCGAGTCGGAGCTCAAGAACGGCCGCGTCGCCATGTTCGCGTGTGCCCCCGCCCGGCGCCTTTGCCCTCCTCCTCGCCCCATCCCCCCTCTGGCACGGGAGAGGAGGAGAAGGAGGTGGGTGATGATGATGATGATGATGATGATGATGATGATGATGATGATGATGATGATGATGATGATGATGGTGGTGGTGGTGGTGGTGGTGGTGGTGGTGGTGGTGGAAGTGGTGGTGGTGGTGGTGGTGGTGGTGATGATGATGATGATGATGATGATGAGGAGGAGGATGATGATGAGGAGGATGAGGATGAGGATGAGGATGAGGATGATGCTGATGATGTTGCTGATGATGATGACGACGCGGGGGAGGAGACGCAGGCGGGGCGCTGGGCGTGGAGGAGCATTAGGGGTCGTGGAGGGGGGGTGCTTGCGCGCCACCGTCTCGGGGGAGCTCAGTGTGTGCGCCCTCGCGATAGATCGTGCTTGCCGCTCGAGGAGGAGGAGGAGGAGGCGGAGGAGGAGGAGGAGGAGGAGGAGGAGGAGGAGGAGGAGGAGGAGGAGGAGGAGGACGAGGACGAGGACGAGGACGAGGACGAGGACGAGGACGGGGTGGAGGTCAGATGTCCTTCCCAGCTTTTCTTTTTTTCGCCTCGTCGGCGCCTCCTTTTCGCCTCTGCCTGAGCGCCTCTTTTTCCCGTCCCCCATTGAGTCGAAGGCCGCTACGGGGCGGGCAGGAGGGGGGGTGGGATGGCATCGTCTCGTACCAGCCCCAGTGCCCGTGGCTTCGAGGCTTTGAGGAGCATGAGGATGATGGAGAGACAGGGTCATGGTGCTGCTGTTTCGAGACGACGGTGACGATGATGATGATGATGATGATGGTGATGATGATGAAGATGGTGATAATGCTGTTGATGGTGATGGTGCTGGTGAGGATGGTGGTGCTGATGGTCATGGTGATGATGATGATGCTGATGCTGATGATGATGATGATGATGATGATGATGATGATGATGATGATGATGATGATGATGATGATGATGATGGTGATGCTGATGGTGGTGATCGTGATGATGTTGATGGTACTGATGGTACTGCAGATCATACAGATGATGACCACGATCATGGTGATGATGGTGACGACGATTATGGCGGTTATGATGTTTGTGGTGGTGGCGATGGTGTGATGACGACGATGATGAGGATGATGGAGGTCATGGTGTTGGTGATGATAGTTGTGATGATTATGCTTGCGGTGGTGATGATGACGATGATGGTGCTGATGACGATGGTGATGACACCGACGACGACAACGACGATTACGACCACGCCGACGCCGACGACTATGACAACGATGATGATGATGATGATGACGGTGATAATGATAATGATGATGCCGATGCGGATGGTGATGGTGATGATGATGTTGATGTTGATGATGATGCTGATGATGATGCTGATGATGCTGATGATGCTGATGATGATGATGATGATGATGATGATGATGATGGATGGCGTGGACGAGGAGGAAGAGGAGGAAGAGGAGGAGGAGGAGGAGGAGGAGGAGCACGAGGATGAGACGCACCTGGTGCATGGTGCAGGCATGGGCTACATCGTGCCTGAGTACTTCAAGTTTCCCGGCTACTTGGCGCCCTCTTCGGAAGCGTTCTTGCGCTCCCACTACTCCGTGTCGTCCCCCTCCGCCGCCTCTTCCCACGCCTATGCCCTCCATCTCATCCAGTTGTGCCCCTCCTTATCCTCGTCGTCATCCTTCTCCTCCCCTCCCTCCCCCTCCTCCTCTCCTTCCGCCCTTCCCCGGCCTCTCGCGCCCTGTCCTTCTCGGCGTCGTCTTCCCCTCTCCCTCCCTTTCCGCCCCTCCCCCTCCCTTTCCCTTTCCGCCCCCTGTTCCCTTCATCCTCCTGTCTCCTCCTGTCTCCTTCCCGCCTCTCCTCCCCCTCTTCCTCCTCGCCCCCCCACATCTTCGCTCCCTCCCGCTCCTCGTCCTCTTCTCCTCCCCTTCCGTGTGCCAGGTGGGAGTGCATTCCAGTCCAAATATCACGTTGTGCTACCATTGCTTCTTCTGTCATGGGAGGCTGGGTGGGATTGGGCGGTGCTGGCTGACTTGTTTCACCGGGCTGACTTGATCCTCCTCCTCCTCCTCCTCCTTCCTCTACCTTCTCCTTCCCCCGCCTGGTCCTCCCTTCCGACGGGCTCTCCAGCGGGCCGTGCGCCGCTGCCGCCGTCGTCGTTGTGGCCGTCGCGCCGCCGTCGTCGCTCGTTGCTCGTCGCCCGCCGCCCGTCGTCCGTCGTCCGTCGTTCGTCCGACTCTGGTCGTCGTCGTCGTCGTCTCCGTCGCCGTCCGCCGCCGTTCGTCCGTCCGTCCGTCCGTCCGTCCGTTCTTTCGTCCGTCTGTCGTCGTCTTCGTCGTCGTCATGCGTCGTCGTCGTGCGTCGTCGCTGTCGTCGTCCGCCGTTGACGTGCGTCGTCCGTCGTCCGCCGTCGTCCGTCGTGGTCCGCCTTCCGCTGTCGTCGTCATCGCCGCCTCCTGGCGAGGACTTGAAGTTCGTGGACGTTCCGAATGGCCTCGCGGCCATCAGCAAG